TGGGATCCGGTGGCGGCCGAGCGCTGCGCTCTCGGTGACACCTGCGCCCGTCCTGGGGCGGTGTAGCCGCAGGCGGTGCTGCGCGCATTCCTGGCCGGCCGCGCCCGAAGCCAGGTGCGCGGGGTCCGGGCGGGGGTCCGGGCGGGGACGGGGTCTCGGCGTTCCCGTGGAGGCGGCACGGGACAGTCGGAAAGGCCGCCCAGCTCCCAGAACGGCAGAGTCCAGCGCTTCCTTGCGGGGAGCCCCCGCTTGAGACCCCCGGGGGCGCGCGCTGCCGGGAGCGGACGACAGCTCGTCCAGCCCAGACTTGGAAGGGAAATGGAATGAACATGTTTGCTCTTGAAGGCAGAGAGGGGTTGGAACGTCCGGACTTCCCTGGGCTAGCCGGGGGTCTCCCCCGGGGCGATTCTGCCTGTGTCTGTCCCCTGGGCAGTGTCTGGGGACATTGGTGGTTGTCATGCCGGGGGGGAGCGCCTTTCATCGAGGGGTGGGGCCAGGGGTGCTGCTCAGACCCCCGCAGCGCCCGGACGGCCCCGCCCCAGAGAAGGATCCAGCCCGTGTCCACAGCGCCCGGGGGGGGGGGGGTGGGGGCGGGGGAGACCCTACGTTAATTATCCGGAAAAACACTTGAGTCAGATCCCTGCTCACTAGATAGCAGAATAAATTCCCAAAGGGTCAGACGGTAAGAACCAGAGAGACTCACCCCCAGCATCTGTGTCCCGCGCTCCCCACTCCTCTCAGGGTGTGTATTTAATTGTGTGCAGCATCCTAGGGCCTCAGGAGGGCAGATCATCATGGCACACGGAGTCTCTTCGGGCGGATGGAATCCCCGACACCAGCGAGCTCTCATTTGGGAATGACTGTCCCTAGGGGACCGTGGGTGATATCTGGGGGGAGACCCTGACTTACCCTGTGGCCCTGTGGTTCTAGTGGTATCGAGGGTCCACTCCATTTATGCCCAGCTGACCCGCCAGGGGAGGAGGAAGCAGCTGACCATTCTGCCAGTGTCCCAGCACCAAGCCCTCCAGTCTCTCCCCTTCCCTGGAGTGCATTTCCTTGTTCTTGTGACAAGTCCTCATCGGGCCTCATCCGGCCTTTCCTGTGGATCAAGGATGAGTTTCTGTGGTTCAAACATTGAGAGGGAAAATCCTGAGCCATGTGCCACAGGCCTGGGTGAAGGAGGGGGCGGGCGAAAGGGGCCACTGACATGCACCACGATTAGGAGGGTCTTCAAACTTCTAGAGGCTGGCAGAGAACTGGTCTGGAAGAGCTAGGAAGGGGCCGGGGGACCTGGACCCATTGCTGTGAGCTGCAGTGTCCCCAGAGCAAAGACGGAACCGCATGCAGCGTGGGGCCAGGGTGGTAGATGCGTTCCGTCCCCTGCAAGAAGCTCCCGGGCAACAAGGCTAAGGCGAGGACCAGAGCCCTCCCTCTCTGTTCACCTCTGGTGTTTGTGACTGTCCTGGGGCGGCCGGAGCAGAGCACCACAGCCTGCGTGGCCAACGCAACAGAAACCTCCACTCTCTCATTCTGGAGGCCGGAAGTCCGAAGTCAAGGGTCGGCAGCGCCCTGCTCCCTCCGAAGGCCCGAGGAAAGGATGCTCCCTGCCTCTTCCAGCTTCTGAGGGTCCCTCTCAACCCTCAGCGTCCCTTGGCCCGAAGCTGTGTCACTCGTCTCTGCGTCCACTGCCACATGGCCTTCTCCCTGTGTGTCCGTGTCTCTTTTAAGGACACCGTCCGTCATCGTGCATCAGGGCCTGCTTGACTCTAGGATGATTTAGTCACGTCTGCAAATTTCCTGTTTGCAAAGGTCACTTTCACGGGTACTGGAAGGTCAGGCCTTGAGCGTATCTTGTAGAGCACCTGACTCAGCACCGGGCAGTGTTTTCACCAGCAGGTGCCTGCTCAGGGTGGAGCACATGTGTCCTAGAGAGACACCTGATGCCCCGGGCATCTGGCCGGCCGGCCCTCTGCCCTGCAGAGCTGAGACCACGTGCTCCCGGTGAGTCGGAGCCAGCTCTCCGGCGAATTCTGCAGCACGTCCTCTCTGGCTCCCTGCTTAGGTTGTCAAGCTTTTGTTCTAGTTTATCTCAGTTTCACTTCATAAATGGTTTGCAAAAGAGGTTGGCATCACAGATCATGTCTTCCTTGATAATTTATTTTTTTTTTAGTTTATTTATTTGACAGAGAGAGACACAGCGAGAGAGGGAACACAAGCAGGGGGAGTGGGAGAGGGAGAAGCAGGCTTCCCGCTGAGCAGGGAGCCCG